CACATTAAAAGCAGGTGGTGCTTTGATTGGTTATTGTCTTGGCTCTTATCTTCCCCTTGCAGACGACCCTGGATCTGACCCGGCAGAATGTTCCCCACGAATCTATAATGCTCCACAGGGTCAAAGTGTGCTGCTTTCAACGGCTTAGGAGTCCTTGCCAACGCTTCACGACTCCCACCGCTTGAACGGGGGCAAATAAATGAGAGGTTAAAAGCCAGTCAGAAGGTGGTTTGTCTCAGGTTAACCCGACTGGGGAAACAGGCCCAGGGAGTTGATCGTGATGTTTATGGATCCTGGTATGTTCCTGCTCAGCAGAAATGTGTGTTAAATACAAGCAAACCTGTTTGGGGAACTAAAGGGGAGAAAGAAAAGGCCACAGGAGACACGGTAAGCGCTGGCAAAATTGCTACATTTTGCAAAGAGCAGCAAAGGGTTCTCTGCCAGGTTGCTGGGTGGGCATAGCCATGGTGGGCGTGGCCTAGTCAGCCTCCTGCACCACGGTGACATGGGCGGGGGGGCGTTTTTACCCTCCCCGGGCTCCGGAGGCTTTCCTTGAGCCTCTGGGAGGGCGAAAATTGCCTTCCCGGACTCTGGAGGCTCTCTGGAAGCTGGAAACGGGCCCATTTCCAGCCTTCCCGAGTCTCCGTGCGTGGCTTGCAATTACCTGCATCCAAAACGGGCCTCATGGGGATTCCTGGGAGGGGAGAGGCAGGGTGGGCGTGGCCAGCCAGGAGTGGGATTTGGGGGGTTCTCCGAACTGTGCAGAATCCTAGCTAGGGGCTCTCCTGAACCCCTGCCAACCCCCAGCAGGCCTCCCCTGCCTGGAAAGCCATGGCAGATTGTCTGCACTCAGACAGAACGCATGTTTCCAAGGCCCATTTCCTTGCTAGGCAGAGCGAGGGCCTCTTTTTCTTCTGCTGCTGCTGGGGAAGGAACAGGATGGCGTCTTGCTGAGTGTGCATGCGCTAGCAAGCCCGTCGTCGGTGCTGCAGCCTGGCACGGGTGGGGAGGGGCTGAAACAGGAATGAGCAGGGCAGCCTCTCGACTCTTTCCCCTCTGCCGTGAACTCTTCCGTTTCTTTTCTGGGTTTGGGGGAATCTGTTTGGGGAGGGGAGCGGTCGTATACCTGAACTGCCATGTACTAACCCTGGAAGCTCTGGAAAACACACACACACACCCCAGTGAACTGGAGAAAAACATCAGTCCAGACGGTGGAGGGGAAGGCCGAAAAGAGTTGCATAAAACTCCGCTCCCAGGCAAAGTTTTTTTCCAGTTTTCTTCAGAAAAACACGAGGGTCTGCCACGCCACATCCCCTCCACTCTTCCCTTCTCAACAAGGCCCACCAACTGCCCTGGCTGCCATCTGTTTAACTCCAGATGGTATGGAATGGGTTACAAGGGACCGGTCCACGTTTAGCAGCCGCCGTTGTCGGGAAGTTAAGTGAAGCAGCTGCTAAGGGAAACTGTAATTGAGCTCCTGATGCATCTTTCCTGGGTTTTTTTTTTTTTTCCAGAACTGGGAAGGTCGGTGATGCCACGATTGTTCCCCAAGTGGCTTTTTTTTTTGTTGCTGTGGAGATTGCGGTTGCTAAATGAGGCAGCCACTAAACGATGTCTGCCTTTTGAGCTGAGAATTGCAGTTCACTGATTCAGAGGGGACACCAAGCCAAAGCTGGAAGGAAGGAAGGAAGGAAGGAAGGAAGGAAGGAAGGAAGGAAGGAAGAGAGAGAGAGAGAGATTTTTAGCAAGAGAAAATATTCCACAGGTTAAGAGGAGAGGAGAGGTTTGTTGAATGCATGGCAATTTCTTTTGTCCAGTAGTGGAAATGGGGCCAGAAGGACAGCATCCCCAAAGAGGGTTGGGGCTTTGACCCCTTCCAAACCACAGTGGGACAGGAAACTGGGTAACTGGTCAGCCAGGTTTCTCCCTGAGTGGGGATCCCCTGGAGCAACGGAGCAATGAGGAGGCCAAAAGGTGAGGCCGGTTGGTCTTTCGGCCACCTCCCATCGCCTGCAAGCTGGGAAGCGCTCGGGAGGCATGGCTTACTGGCGGGGCAGGCACTGTGGGAACCTGCAGAATCCGGAGGAAGTCCCCCCAACCCCCAAGGACTGAAGGGAGGAACTGGAGGAGGAAGGAGAAGCTGGGAAGGAGAATTTCAGCTGGCCCACCTTTCTCGCACCCAGGCCAACGGGTCACCTGTTGACTCTCAAATGACTGGATCCCTTTTGCTTGGATCACGAGGTTCCTGTGAAAGAATGGGATGCTGCCAGCAACAAGGTGTCTCCCTGGTCTTGCCTTTCGGCTGTCTGTCTGCTGTCTATCAATCACCTGTCTGTCTATCATCTATTTATTTATCTATCTCTATCAATTATCTATCCATCTCTCCATCCATCCACCAATCATCTATTTATTTATCTATCTCTTAACAATCATCTATCTATCATTTATTTATCTCTATCTATCATCTATCTATCCATCAATCTATCATGTATCGCTAATTATCTATCTGACTATCTATCATCTATTTATCTATTTATTTATCTATATCAATCATCTATCCATCCATCCATCCATCCACCAATCAACTATTTATTTATCTATCTCTAACAATCATCTATCATTTATTTAGCTCTATGAATCATCTATCTATCCACCTATCTATCCGATCATCTATCATCTATCTATATCTATCTATCTATCTATCTATCTATCTATCTATCTATCTATCTAT